TATATATATATATATATATATATATATATATATATGCATATATACACATACGTGGAGATATTTGTGTATTGAACATCCAGTCAGAAATTGTAGAGAGTATGACTACGTTAAAAAACACAACATAAAATCTCTCTGACATTTGCAATATTGAGTGGAATTTATTTTTTTTTTTTTCTACAATGCGTATTGTAATTTAATTGTTTAAATTTTTAATAAAAAAAAAGACAAAATATATCAGGTGTATTTTCACAATTACAAAATTTTCCAATTATTAATTATAAAGTTGCGCGCAAGTAAAATGTGTAATGTCGATTAATAAATCCCCGGGCGAAATAACTACAAACTTCTCGCGCGTGCGCGCGCGCAGATATTTTTTATTTATTTTTTTATTTTTTTATTTGCAACGTTTCATTCGTATCACGGCTCTCAGATTTATAGAAGCGTCGCTTTCACTATCTTCGAAGGTGTTTGGAGGATCTTAGCGCGAGAGACATTGCTCTCTCTCTTACCCACTTCCTCTTCCTGTTGCGTGAAGTTTTATCGCAAAAGGTGTTTTATCCTGAAAAGTTTTTCGTATACGTTTAGCCACCACGTGGATTTCTCCCGCATCGGGGTACACACAGCGCGATGCCTTATCTATCGGCAGGAGCGTTTATCTAAACGCCCGCCGCCGGTTTCTCGCCGTTCACATTCTTCTCTCACTCGATCCAACATACGGTAGTATTGTGTTCGATTTTCGTGTTAGGTTCGTGTGTTAGGTGTGTTTTAGCTCTTTGATAATTTATCGGCAAGGAAGCATCGCTTACAGGAAGAGAGAAAAAGAGGGAGCCTCTCCGATTGATACCCCCAAAGCTCTCTATCGAACTCAATTCGGCGAGTTCGGCGAGATTGCTTGATTTTTTATTACTGTCTGAAAAAGCGCGTCGCTATCTGGAAACTAGAAAGAATTTGCGCGCGATTATATTTGACAAAAATTTTGTTTCAAGCGAAAAAACATGTGAGACTCGTTATCGTGTGAGCGCATGAATGAAAAGCTTTTGGTTTTCAAGTCCAAGAGAAAACTTGGAAGTTTTGTCATATAGCGAGCGCGGAGTATGTACTTTCCATAAACCCGAATGGCAAAGAAGTGTTCCAATTTTCTGCCTCGTGAGCACCCAAAGACTCGCTTTCCCGCCGCATAATTCTTAAACTCGTTGCAACGACCTACTATGGACCGGCTCTCTCACGGACGGGTGAGATACCGCCATATATTCCGTTATAAATGGAATAAGCACGTATATTTGCTCGCTCGTTTAACTGCGCATATGTATATACATATATATATATATATATATACATATTTCTTTATATACGGTCCAAGTGCCAGCCGGAGGATCCGTTCTATGTAAAATCGAATTTCCATATTTGCCCTTCTAGATAGATAGGCGAAATTAGTTTTTTAAATTCAAAATACTACAATCCTCGGAATCTCATTGAATCGCATTATGCCACGTGAGACACATACACGTCTCTCCCCGATTATTATATAACGCTTATGTCAATTTATTTAAATAATTTTCAGAGAAAGAGAGAGAGAGAGAGAAAGAGGGAGAGAATTATTTAAGAAGAAAAATTCATATCCGATATTTGCATGTCGCATATTGCTTCCAATATCACATAGTTTTACTTTGTTCCGTAAAACTTGTGTGTTTTTCTTCTTACATGAGATATTTTCCGTCGCACGAGAAAAACGAAAGAGAGCCTGTTTGCGCGATGTCATTTTTACTAGGAGTAAGAGCTTGACACAACGCATAAAATCTTGCCGGCAGTAGTGTAGTCGTCTTGCACGGCACGGAGAGAGAATTTTGTGCGAAATATTACCTTTGCAGACGCGCGTGTAATTATATTAAGTTTTTTTCAACAGAGAGAGAGAGAGAGAGATGTAGGAAAAAGAAAAAAAAAGAATCTCTTAAATATACGAGATTTTATCGCACTAACTCTCGAACCGGTTAATCTTCTCTTCTCTCTGGCGCATAAGTTGAGGCAAAGTATAATGAACGAGCACTTTAATGTAATAAGAAGCGCGAGCGAGCGTAAGAGCCTTTTACAGTCGCAAACCCGCGGCAAAAAGAAAACAAGTTCTGGCGATCATGCGCGATCTGCGGCGCGGCCATTTGTGACGACATAACTACACTCGCGCGATTTCGATGCTCTAAAAACGAAATGACTCGTAAAGTCATATTTCCCCTCGCCCCTGCTCACCCCCTGTCGTCCCGTCTTGTCCCGTAATGGCGCAAATTATTATACCTCGATTAAACGCTGTCAAATAGCTCGGAAGAAATCGCTCGGCCCTCGTCTCTCGCCATTTCGCCCTACCAGACGTATATGTCAGACGTATCTTTCCCTCCCCGTTTTGAGCTTAATGCAATTTATCTTCATTTGCGATATTCTCCAAACGTCTATAAGAGAGTTTCTAAAATATTTTGCAATAAAAAAGTTCTAAAAGATTCACCGTTGAAATTATCGGATTTAGAAACGACCGTTATCATCACTCTCTCTCTCGTTAGAGACGTGCGTCAAATATATCACTCGTGTGTTATTTTTTTTTTATCCTTCTCTTTTTCCGTTTAATTTGTATATCCGCACTCTTCTCACAAACTTCAAACCATCCACGTAACAAACTTAATTATCGCGCGCGCACATACTTCGCTTCGCCTTCGAGTAAACTTTCTATTTGTTTTTACAAGCGCTGGTAATTGCTCGAAAACATTTAATTTTGTACGTACGTTATCGACTACGAGATTAAAAGTTATCGTAAGATTTTTCTTTCTCTCTCTCTCTTTCTCTCACTTTCTCTATGTTTCAGTCTAACTTGTCGGACAGCCAACAAGTAACATTGGAGCACGTGAACTTCAACAGCAGCGGTACGTACAAGTGCGAAGTTAACGCGGAGGCGCCGAGCTTCAATTCAGTTAGCGACCAGGCGGAAATGGAGGTCATAGGTGAGTGGACCGGTGTCGTGTTTAATTAATAATGCTTTGAACGCGGCTGCGCCGTCGTCTGGCCTTTGGTAATTCGAGTAAAGACTACGGCGTGGTCGAGTTAGGCGACAGAGAAGGGAAAGAGAGAGAGAGAGAGAGAGAGAGAGAGAGAGAGAGAGAGAGAGAGAGAGA